GCGGTCACGAACTAAAGTCCACAGCCATCGCCTAAAATATTCAATTCTGATTTTCGATCCCTATCGCGAACGAAGCTCTCTGCTGTAGGTTCTTACGGGACGCGTTCCAAAGACCATTAGATTAGAATCCAAGCTAGCTCGTCTACAATCGTCTCGATACAGAATTGATTAGTCAAGGACTACCTTGGGTACATGGCGTGTCGGGGTTAAACCTATAAGGATCCTACCATTGATAGACAAAGTCATTCAGCTCGATATCATATCTTTTAGTACACAACTCGTAAGCTTCTCGTAAGACGTAACCCGAAGATCCCGATCGAATGCCTTTGAGGTTAAGATCATCCACTCCACGTTTGAATATTTCTCGTGAGCAAATAGTAGAGCTCCCCGTCGTAACCCTCTTACAAGACGTAGTCCGAAGATTGTCTGAAGGCTTAAATCTAGATTAGCTCGTCAATAATATGACGGGCGACTTTTCGCTCCCAATAGTGATTTCCAATCAAAGTGACACTCCAGTAATGCATACGGCAGGATCTTTATGGTGTTTGACCATGCACACCCACACCCCCGATCCTATATATGCTGCGTAGACGTCGAACACGAGACTAAATGCCCGGGCCTATCTACGTAGCACTAATACTACACCTTAAAGTAACTGCTACATGAGGCATCCCTCTATCCGTAAGCGTCTCCATTGGTGCACGAGATTGAAACTAGGGCATTGTATAGTACGCATCTACCGACACTCCGATCCCAAGAATCCATCGACACTCTAAGTATTCGTATACCTTTTCTGTAGCCTCGCCGCCGACTCGTCGCTTCGACTGAAGCCGCTTTCATAATATTGAACGAGCCTCTCGTACCCTACGAATATTTGTCTATACAATCGTTAGTCGCAAGGTTTAATTTCGTAGCATCTCGTCTCGGAAACCCTCGCTGTGTCGATTTTTATAGGCTACCCCAGCTCTCCGTCTCTCCTAGGTAACCCAATCCCTTTAACAACCTGATAGACTACAGAGTACAGGCTCCTAATAACCGACATGATTATAGACACGGAGCCACGATAGTTGATCAAGTCTTGGGTCGTAGGCTTGGGTTGTGCGCCATGATGGGGATTTAGCACTAAATCTACGATTGGCAGATGGAGTCTGATTAATGCTGCTTCCCTTATTAGTAATTAGGACAGCGAGCTCGATAAGTTAAATGACGACCTGTTTGGCGAGCATCCTAGAAGAGTAAGATGACTCCGCTTCCAAGTTTCCTTAGCGAGTGCTCAGGGATAACGAGAGAGAATTAGCGAACGTTGTGATATATTGGGGGCAGGCCAAAGGGGGCAAAATTGACAGGTATACAGAAGAAGCCAACAGTCACCTCGTTCCCGGCTATCGAGACAAGCGTACACGCGGGACTAAGGTGGTGACAGCCTTTTAACAGAAGGATTAGAGGTGCGTGACGAAGGAATTCCGTTGTAGTCTTGGATCATGTGCGGAATGAGGAATAGATTGGCTTCGTGACTTGGTTAATATAATTCTGTATGCACATTATCGTAGCACTGCTACATGATTTAAACCGCGCACACTTCCTTTAGGACCATTCTCGAGTGAGCTCTCTACGGCTGTAAATCTAAATCATCTTAGAAATCACCAAGTAGTAGACGGATTTGAAACCTGGAGGAATATTACAGCAAAGAACGGGTCTTTGGGACACTTCCCAACGAGATAGAATGCTTACTGAATGTCAGCAGTCTGTCATGTCTAGGTATGGATATACCTCGTCGGCTTCTCAAGTCTTGGCTCACTACGGTATACAAAACGCCAATAGGGAAGTTAACTAAACTCGAAGGTCTTATCGAAGAAAGATATTGGCCACCCCAAAATAAAGACTGAATTACGGTTACAGAGTCTAAACAGTCTAAGCTGAAGAAAGGGAAGCAGTGTCGCTCACGAATACCCCTCGACAGTAGCTAGGACTACACTAAAGTCTCAAAGACCTTGAGAACCCGAAGGACGAGCTTGCAACCGTAGTGCCACAAACCCAACAAGCTAAGGTAAGTTACGGAATAGAATCATAGCTAATGCGAATACCATACGATAGAGACTCGAAGGACTCGAGGGTTAATGACTAGCGTAACCTATGAACTTATACCAGTTACATGTCGCTACTTATGATAGTGAAGCACCTAAGTGTTCCGAATTATTTGTAGCGTCTTTGATATACCCCAGAGGTAGCCCTTACCGAACTATGATGGCAGGATGGGTTTACTCACCTTATGGTTTATGGGTTATTAGACATGGAAATAAGTTCTTTGTTCTAGATGTCTCATCTCTAATCCTAACAAGCCTCTTCCGTCTAATACTTCCAACCCGCCTGTAATCTCCTAAATGTACTCTGAGTCTCCCGGAGGAGCAGTCGTACCACCGACCAGCTATCCCGCCACGCATCCTCTTACCTAGAGAGGCTCCTCGTCTAAGCTCCCTTCTTATCCACTCCATCGCCGAGACTGTAAGATACATGAAACGCTAATTGTACAAGTTACATACTACATATTTAATACTGTTCGTCTTGGCCGGCCTGTTCCCATTGCCGGAAAGTCTCAAATCTCCGGAACTCCTGGAATCTTTGAAACTTTTGGAATCTCTGAAACTCCTCCTATCGAGGTTATCGACTTCGAAGGTAATATGGACCGTATCATTAGGTCTAACGTTCTCTTTTTTCGCCCACTCCTCGACCTTACACTTCTCGATCTTGGAAACACTTCTTGATCTTAGAAACACTTCTCGATCTTAGAACAGCTTTTCCATACTGCTACTGTGCCCTTACGAGTAACTCTAGTCCAATCTTCATCTTCTATTCCAAATATGGCATCGTAGAACGGCCATTCATTAATCCCCAGCTATGAGTCAACTGTTTGTAGGTTATAGTGTTCGGTCGGGGGAGTATTAGGGTTGGTCGTGTCGTTCCGAGACCATGAGAGTTGGATCTGGTCCACTGTAGTCGTTAGGTCTCGTCTAAAGTAGTAGTAGTTATATGGTCTTACCTGTTCTTGTTCTGGATTGCTCAACGGTACAGGAAAGGCATGTCGTGTATGTGTGGACTCGGCAGGTAGTTCTCCGCTCTGATAGCCGACATTCCCGACCATCAGGGGTGATTGCATCTGGTAGACTTTGTCAACGTCAGGAGGCGCTTCTCTAGCATGTATAAAGGAGAGGGTTGGAGAGGGTTGGAGAGGACTGAAGAGGATATGTACCTGTTTGCAATTTTCATCTGACTATCTCTGGACTGACTTTTCCACCGCGGATTAGAGCGCTGAAAAGGAATAGGATAGGTTCAGCTATTGTCACTGCGAACTCTGGATGGTAGGGGACAAGATAGAATAGGAAGTGTAGAGGTAGTATGTGTAGTATAGGTTATTCAGGTAGGTGTAGTCTAGGCAGTATGTGTAGTATCTAGTCTAAGTTTGGTTGATGAAGTGTTGTAGAAGTAGAAGTGAGAAATGAAAAATAGAAGTGGGAGGTGTTTGTATTTGTAGGAGACGACACACATCGTAGAGGCAATATTTGAAAAGCGGTGAAAGACTTTTCAGTATCCAAGGCAGCAACTGCTTTAGGAAGTTAAACTTTTGATACCTTAGAAACGAACTTAGCAACTGTAAACTGTAACAAACTTAACTATCACTCAGGAAATACTATAGACGTACAGATGTAGGAAAGTGCACGCTAACTTTACCTTAGGTACTATACCTACCTACCTAGGTAAGGTAAGCACTTGAGTTTCCGTGCCTTACCAAAGTAGCTTATAGAGTTAGAAGGTTATGTACATACAGGTAAGTGGAATTGTACTTGTAACGTACGGTAAGAGTAGGTAGATAGTAATGCCGATTAGATTGCTGCATCGAACCTTAACTGAGTCATAATCCAACTCAAAGGTAAATTAGAACTTTCATCGTGACACATTTCCCGCACAAGCAGGTGGTATCTACACGGTCATTCACATTGCCCTCTTTTATACTTTCTGAGAGCAGCATCGTAGCAGCTTATAGAATAGCACTCTTCCTATCAAAGGGAAGTATAGACATAGACTCTCAAAGTTAGTTTAGAGTTCCTTGCAGAACAGCGAGGTTGTTTCGATCTCTACCTCGTATTAGCAGTCGCTAGAAAGAGTGTACCATCATGAAGGTAGCTTCCGCAATAGATGTCGCCGTGATCCTGTTCAAAAGGTATTCGCCTGATCTTCCGCATGTATCCTCTTTTCCAAATACTTGAGTAAGTTTGTAGCCCGGATATCTTGCGTAGGTCGTTTACTTTCACGAGAGTAGTAGGAAATGGCATAGCTACAGTTGCGACAGGTAATACCTTAGGTACCTCCATATCCACGTCTAATGCGGTCCTGAATGTTAGGGGGTGCTACATAAATTTCCTCGCGTACGAGCACGTATACTTGTATACTATTTCATCCTTACAGCCGTAGACTATCTTGTGCCTCGGCGGAGATAGCTAGGGTATCGCCTGTGAGATTCTCGAACCATATACGGGACTACCATTAGTGGACAATATACGACGTGAGGCTTGAGGCGTGAGGCGTGAATGCAGGTGTATAATTTTAGAGTGCCTCATCAATAACACTGAAGATCAACTTAGTCTTAGTCGGAACTTTACAATCATGCCGTCAACAGTAAGAGCTTTCAACCCTAATTGAAACGTAGACAATACCAATGTGGCTTTTATTGCTTATGGAAATTGATTTTTATAGCCTTAACATAATTGAAATAGTTGGGTTGAAGTACGTACATTTAAAATATCCTTAGTGAAGCTTACGAAGCTTACCCCTATCTTAACGGTATTCCAGATTATGTCATACTGGACTTTGAGGAAGGAACCCAGCATAGATAACCAAGTCCCGTTATAGAATAAACATAGATCATAGTTTTCAATTGAACAGCTTTTTCAACCAAAATCCAGCCCGTAGTAGCGCCCGTAGTAGCACCCGCGTAATCGTTTAAGATGGCAGAGAATGCAGAGCAGTTGGTAGAGAAAGCAAAGCAGCTAGAGGAGCGTATGGAATGGTTGATACAGAGATCCGAGGTCCCGGGACATGTCTCTATAAAGCTGCATGTCTTTGAAAGAATCCGCGAGTCCTTCGAGAGCCTAGTTGGGGGCGAGCGCATCCGATTAGAACGCCGCGAAGAGGATGTAAAGCATCGAGAAGAAGTTGTAAGGCATCGCGAAGGGGATATAGAAAGTCGCGAATCCTCCGTAGAAGGTAGAGAAGTAGCTGTTAGAGCAACCGTAGAAGTTCAGAAGGAACTAGAAAATGCTCTCGCGACAAGATCAGAGCAGCTATTAGAGGGAGAGGCAAAGCTACGCGAGGATCAAAGTTGCTTGGAGGAAAGCAAGGTAAAGCTGCAAGAGGATCGAAGGAGCCTAGAGGAAAGAGAGGCAGCACTGAAGGCGGCTCAAGAAGCTCTTAGAAACGAGAGCAACGGCCTGGAACAGGGGTTGCAGCAGTTGAAGAGCGAATGGGTTCGGGTCGAAAAGGCCAAGGTAAATCTGGAGGATGAGATGAAAAATCTCACGCTTACAACAGGCGAGACCCTCTCGGAGCTCAAAAGCTCCAAAGATCAGCTGCAGCTTTCGTGGGAGCGGGATCTACAAGACCACTCCGATCGGGCAAACCAACTCTCCCGAGAGCTAGAGGCCGCCAAGCAGGACGTTCTCGCGTCGAATAGCAGGGCAGACGAGGCAAAGAGAGCTCTCGAGTCGTCGTACCAAGAGAGCAAGTCCCTCTTAGAAAAAGCCCAGGCAGATACGCATATAGAGAAGCAACGAGCCAGTAGATTCGAGGATTCCGTCCGGGAGCTCGCAGAGGCTAAGACTTTGGTAGATGAAAAGCTTTCGGTCGCTACCGAGAAGATAGCGGAGCTAGAAGCCAAGCAAGTAGAGCTAGCAGCTCAACATGAGAAGCTAGCGTCCGAGAGCAAATCTCTCTTAGAAGAGGCCGAGGAGGCCACGCGTAGAGAAAAGAAGCGGGCGGATGATTCCAGGAGAGCATCTCTCGACGACAAAGCTTCCGCTCTTGCGGCTGTAGAAAAGGAAAGAGACAGCCTCAAATCTCACGTTCGAGAGTTACAAGGTAGCGTAGAGACGACGAATCAGGAAGCGATAGCGCTCCGAACAGAGGTCCAGAGGCTAAAGGATCAGGCGGAAGAGCTCGAGCAAGCAAAAATTCAACTGAAGGTTCAGATGGATAAGATGCTGGAGCAGGGTGATAAGCCCGCCAATCCTCGTAAGAGAGCCTTCGAGAAAGACTCGACGGATAAGAACTCCCCCTGGCGTAAAGCCGTGAGAGAATTAGTCGATATGCTGTACCTGTGCAAACCCGTAATCGACGACTCTTGCACTCAAGAACAAGCTTTAGAGGCCGTCAGCAAGCTATTCGCAAGCGAGAACTCGCGAGACAACCTGCTAGACTTCCTCCAGTCGTATCCGTGCGATAAGTGGTGCTGCATCGACGAGGTAGCCGAGGAAGGGTTCGGCGCCTACCCAGCTACGGATACATGCCCTAGACACGAGGGAGGGCCTTGCTTCCAGATTCGCAGCGGCGACGAGAGTGGACAAAGGCGCCCCACTACGTTCTTGTGCAGAATGAAGTAGCTATACGTGTCCTGATGCTAGATGTACCTTCTGTAAATGCTAAACGGGTGAGATAAGATTGAACAGACTTTCCGGTATGTTGAGCTTGGCGTCTATGTGCGGGAACCTTAATACCTGACCAAGTCTCTTAGGTACTTCTCGAAATATTTGCTCCCGGGTCTTCTTTTTGGGTGCCGAGTCTTGCTGAGCCGTGGTAAAGATGCCGAGTGCTGGGTGCCGAGTGCTGGGTGAGTGCTGGGTGAGTGTGTCGAGGGCTTCGACGTCAAGCCGACTCTTATGTATTCTGGTACTTTAATAAAAGTCAGTGTATTCCAAGGCTATCCCTGGGTATAAGCTCGCATCGTAGTGTCTGTACGACGCCATATCAACCACGACCTTCTATTTGCCTCGTATAAATTCGGTAGTTGTAGGTATCAAGTACTCCTTTGATAAGAGTTTCGATGTAGAGGTACCTCATATTGTAAAGCTCATAATTCGTAGCCCCACAAACTTTCAACGACAACAAATTCCAACCAGTTTAGAATTGACTGCTTCATAACCACCCTATCCACTAGCAACTCCTCTATACTCTATGAGATCATATAAGAGCTACAGGATTTACCGACCATAATGGAGCACCCTACATTTGAGAAATTGCGCGACCTACGCGAGAAGTATCCAGGCGGCGAGCTCGCCCAGAACTACGCGCTCACGAGGCAGATACCTCGAAGGTTTAGGATGGGTACAGGCAGATTAAATAAGGGAGATTACGACAAGATGTGTAGAGAGGCTTTCGCTCTGGACGCCGCTATAGTGGTGGCACGTCACCTCCTCGCCGCGGTAGCCGATCGGTACCGCCAGATAAAAAGCGGTAGTCCCCTGGCGCGCATGATCTGGGCCGACCTGGAGGATACGGATAGCTTCCAACAACAGCAGAGCGCGAGGATGGCTATCCTAGAGAGCTTTCGAGAGAAGCGGAAGGGAGAGCAGATCAGCTTCTACTCCGTGATGGAGAGTCAAGAGATGCTGGATACGCTTTGGTGCCTCCCGGCATTCCAGCTCTGGCATCCTACGGTAATGGCCAAGAAGGAAGGCACAAAGAAATGGGAAAAGACCGAGGTCGAGGACCCAGCGCTATTGACAAGGAAAGCTCTTATCAACTATAGCGGCGCCGGAGACCTCGGAGCACACATCAGCGACAGCTTCGGAATGTTCTTGGACGGGAATATCGTGCAGCACTGGAAGAGCAACGAGCCCGTAGTCATCCGCGTCTTCCACTCCAACAACGCCCAAGCCGAGGAGCCTAAGACGTGGAAGGATCTACGCGAGATTTGGGTCAAGTCTCATCGGCTTCGAGATGTCGAGGACGAGACGGGTCGCGCCACTCGAAGATACGACAAGACGGGGGGACCTCCAAAGAGATACATCCTACTCGCGACCGTACGCCTAGGGGCTTGGAAGGAAGAGAACGACCGAGTACGCCTGTACGGCGCGGACGGCGAGTACGTGCACCTACCGAAGGATACGATCAACTATGCTGGCATAGAGTGGACCTTGGGTACCGTAGGAGATAGATATCTCCTCTACTACCGCCTGGCGACTCTCCCTCCCGCAGTCGGCGGATCCGGCTCGGAATTCGTCGTCCGGCCCCCGGCACTTGGGAAGAAACATGCTATGATGGTAGCGGCAGTCACGATGAAGTCGCGAGGACAGGAGCAGTCCGAGACCGATCGTAGACGGGATCCGGTACCGACCCGCCCTATTTCTCGACCTTCCGATCCAAGTACTTCCAACGTAGGCCTACCGCTCGCGGCTCGAATCACAATGCCACAGGCCCGATCCCATACGAATCCGAGAAGCGAATCCCAGGGCGAGCAGGATTGGGGGGGTAGAAGTCACGGTCGAAATCGCCGTGGCGGTCATCGAGGGTAGGAGATTTGGCTACCTCTTATAGTACTTGTAGCTTTTGATATTCTAAATACTATGCATTGATACTATACAGTTGCGTGGCATACTTCGAGAACTCTCGCGCAATAGTGTAAAGCCTATGGATGTAGACCACGTAAACGAGTGCCAGAGTGCACTACGTACAGTCCTTAAGACTTTTAGTTGTAAATCTGCTGCTACTCACATAGACGCGTCGAGCGCGTTAGGTACCAAGTACCTATGCACCTAGTACCTAGGCACCCATTACCCACAAGCTTTTCATTTCTAAAATTCCCCCCCTTTTTATCTTTTCAACACCAACGCCAACGCCAACGCCAACAACAGCAGCAGCAACAGCAGTAACAGCAGCAGCAGTAACAATGACAGAATCTTCTCGCGTTGGTGATGGTAGCGGTGCCGTCGACGAGCTCGGCGATACCCGTATGACTGACCTAACGGTTCCCTCGGGTGAGCGTCCAGGATTCGAGGGGGCGAAGCATCACCTCCCTGCGGAATACCGGGACGCCTCGTTAGAGGATATCAAGAAAAAATGGGTTGGAGGAGGCGGAGCAGGAGGCGGAAGCGGAGGCGGAAGCGGAGGCGGAGGAGGAGGTAGTAACGCGGGTTTTGGAGGTACCGAAATCCAACGTTCGGGTCAGGTGACCAGAGCTCAGGATCAAGTGTTTAAACCGAACTCGTTTATCAATGCCTCCCAGGAGCTGCGGCGTGCTACATCAGGAGTTACCTGGTTGAATAGCGGCGAGGCCTGGAGAGATTACGATCACGAGGGTAACGCGGTCGGCCTTACGAGCCGTTACAACCCTCTCCTTCGGAATGTTGCGAGAGGACGTAGCGGGTTTATAGAGTTTCAAGGGGAGAAGAAATACGTCAAAGGGAGCCCCGTGACCGACGCCTGGATGGAGCACGAGAAGATCAAGCCCGAGGACGAGGTCCACCTAACCTTGTCGAAAGTATCGCACCGCCGCGTGCAGAAGCAGATACAACGTAGTACTGCCGCAAAGCCGATCCCCGGCACCGTGGGTCCTCTCCAGCGACCCTTACCCCCTTTGCCCTCCCTACAACCCCAACAAACTCTGCAGCCGCAGCCGCAGCCGCAGCAGCCGCAGCAGCCCCAGTACCAGCAGCAGCAGCAGCAGCAGCAGCAGCAGCAGCAACAGCAGCAGCAGCAACAGCAGCAACAGCAACAGCAACCGCAGCAGCAGCAGCTCCAACAGCCCCAGCAGGGAGATCCCATCTGGGAGGAGTTTGCTAGATACCGACGGTTTCGTGAGTTGGAGAAGGCCAGCGTGCGAGACGAGGGATCTATAGACGAGGAGTTCACCGCGGCCGACCGCCAATATCCCCAAACCCCCACGCAGCCGCAGTTGAGAGGTAGCGGTCGCCATGACGGTCACGAGCGTGGCCGTGGTCGTGGCCGTGGTCGTGGTCGAGGTCGCGGTCGCGGTCATTACCTTGCCGGTAGTACCCGTGGTGGTCGTGGTGGTCGTGGCGGTCGTGGTGATTCCAGGCCGCAACGTGGTGATTCAAGGCCACAACGTGGCGGCTCCAAGGCTAGTGATGCTGAACAGCGAGCTAAGCTCGATGCGGAACTCGATAGCTTTATGAATAATGAAAATTTCCTCCGAGCTGCAGAAGAAGACGAGGCTCGTATGAATGGAGAGGATATGGACCTTTTCCAGTAGATCCAATGGGGCTAGAATCGATATTTAGCTTAGCTAGAGCTTACACTTAATGCTGAATGACTTTGTGGTTCCCTATACAGTCTTTAACCCCGTAATTTATGTGACTTGCTTGATCGTAATCTTAAGCATTACCGAATATTGTAGGCTTTCAAAATAGGGAGTTTGTCTAATGGCTTTCCGAGTTCCCATTAAGTAGTCCTTGGAATCTTAAAGCCTATGATCCTTTCTATTAAGACGTTCCCTCTTTCGAAGTTTGTATGTAGCCTTTTGCACGATAGATCTTACCAAGTCTCCATTTCTCGAAATACGTATTTTGCTTCCAGGTCCTCCTTTTAGGTTTTGGACCGCGAGTAAAGAGTGCGAGCCCTTTCTCCGGGTTCTAGGTGCTAAGCCCTGAGGGTACTGGGGTGAGTGCTTTGAAGGTATCAAGGATGTTTTTGAGCCCTCAATTCTTCGTCTTACCAACTAAGAACCAGCTTGTCTACGAGCGTGTTAAGAAGAGTATGGATTGTCGATACACTTTAGTCTCGCAGTATGTGGCAAGATTCGACAATGGTGGCTGATTGGGTTTGATCACATTTGGGATTTTACTCCCTCGAGTTTGTTCAAGCAAGCTACGCGAGGAGAGCCTAATACCTAAGCAATGTTGCCATGAACAGCAAACCCGGGATATACAAAATCCTGAATGTGACCAAGCCCAAACAGCCACTATTCTGGTCTCGACCCACCGTGATGGTCAGTGTTGATGTGTCCTACGCCGCTGTCAGGGGGTTTATCCAGGTGATCGATGTCAAACGCAGAGTGAGTGTCTAAGATAGGTAGACCAAAAGGTGAATCTAGAGGGTGCGTAACGCCCTTATAGACTCCTGTGGGCCTCCTTACTCATACCCTAATAGCCGCGCCGGGAAGCAGTCAGCCATGGCTGCTCTGACTATGTCTATGGATAAGCACGCTACCCGCTTGCCGCAGCTTGCCTTATCGAGGGTGCTAAGTCCTGGATGCCGAATCCTCCTTTTGGGTGCCGAACTGTGGGTGAGGGTTTCGACGGTATTGGGGATATTCAAGATGTTCAATATCAAGCTATTGTAGTAGCCCCCAGGGATGCCTTACCGTCCTGTCATCGCTCCTGGGTCTCCCGTTAGTGGTATGGCTCAATACGGACCATGTCGGCCCAAAACCCTACTACATCAAGGGTATTGGAACTAAATATTTGTAAATCAACGGTGTGACTTACAACTCCGTTTCTACCCTCGTTGAGTAGCCTACCTCAAGGGCTATCTGACGAGTACCTAATCTAGTCAAACGACTCCAGATTGAACTCAACATCGATTTGCCCGTGAAAAACCTGTCCGCTGCGGGCCTACTGAGATTAAATATTTAAAAATCGAAACAAAGGGTTTTGACTACGCTTCGACTTGGTATGAGTAACGTATCTAAGGCCCTATCCATCGGATATAAGATCTGGTTAAAAGACCAAGTACTGGACTCGACATTGATTTCACGGCGGAAAACCTGTCCGCTGCGGGCCTATTGGAATTAAATATTTAAAAATCAAGGCAAGGGTTTATGACTCCGCTTCCATTTGAGATCGATAGCGTTTCTTGAGCTCTATCTATCAAGCATCTAACTGGAATAAAAGGTCAAGGAATGGACTCGACATCGATTTTGCCGCCAAAAACCTGTCCGCTGCGGGAGTATTGATACAAAATATTTAAAAATCTAAATGAGGGTCTTTGAGTATGATTCAACTTGGGATCGGTGGCGTATGTAGTGCCCTATCCATTGAATATGGAACCCGGTTGAAAAGTTGAGAATCGGGCTCAACATTACTTTGTCCGCAGAGAGCCCTTCCACTATGGGAATATTAGCACAAAAATTTAAAAATCGAAACAAGGACTTCTAAGTACGTTTCTACTGTCGATCAGTAGCCCATCGCAAGAGCTATCGAATGGGTACCTAATCTACTTGGAGAATATCGTATTGGACTTGACATCGATTTACCGGCTAAAAACCTGTCCGCTGCGGGAGTAATAACATAAAATGTTTAAAATTGAAAACAAGGGCCTCTAATGGTGTTTACACCCTCGATTAGTAGCCTATCCCAGGGGCTATCTGTCGAATATCTAATCTAGTTAAAAGACCCCGAATTGGACTCGACATTGATTTTGACCGCAAAAAACCCTTCCGCTGCGGGAGTATTAATACAATATTTTTAAAATTCGATATCAAGGACTTTGACTACGTTCTCACCCCCGATGAGTAGCGTATCTCAAGGGCTATCTGACAAGTATCTAATGTACTTGAAAGACCTCGGATTGGACTCGACATTGACTTTCCCGCCAAAAACCCAGCCGCTGCGAGGCTACTGGAATTAAATATTTAGATTTTATCCCGAAGGCTTACAACTCTGTTCTCACATGGAGACAGTAGCGTATCTGATGGCCTACGTGTAGAATACGTAATCAATCGAAAAGGTCCAAGATTAGACTCGACATGGATATATCGGTGTAAGTCCCTGCCTCTGCCTACGGTATATCGATTCCAATCGTCAGGCAAGTATAGGGACCACGGCGGGAAGAACCTACCAGCATACTTGCGGCTTACAGAGCTATCTAACGCGTATACCACCGTCTAGAAAGCTCCAAGATTGGCCTCACAATCACTGATCATCGATCTCCTATGCAGGTGTAAGTGACTCGGCTATAAGTCTAGGACCTCCAATGTACAGTGTAATGCCTCCATCTACCTTTTCGATATACCTGGTCCAAGTCGGCTAACTTTTGACTGGATGGAGCTCGCCTAACGCAGAGCGAATTCGAAGTACGATATAGAGTGGGTGTGGTAGGTATGTGGTATGGGCGGGACCAGTGCTGAACTTGAGCTGAACTAGAGCTGAGCTGGTATATGACTAAGGGTACGCTCGATTCCTGACTGTTCGGAAATGCTCCGAGCGGTATTGTACTAGATAGTCTTAGTCCTTGAACGGTATCACGCAAGAATCATGGGCTCGAGCGTACTACGACCACATCGATCGTCGCAAGCTAGGAACCTGAGACCGCGCTCTTAGACCGCATCGATAACGTTAAGGCTTGGATACGAAGCTGTACTCATGTACTCAGATGTCTCTGTTAGCAATTCTCGAGTTGCGGATAGGACCCCAGATACCTAGATGTAACGAACGGGACCTGGCAATTCCTGCAGAGTATGGATTGACACCTGAACAGTGTCTAACAAGTCCCACCGCATCGGAATTAGTCGTCTCGTAATGCAGATATGGGCATAGCTCGTAGTCAAATATCGAAA